CAAGATGCTGACGGGACGGAGATCGGGCAAACAGAGGGACTGGAGGTGCTTTGAAGGCTATTTCCCTGCTTCTTGGCAGAATGGGTTGGACTGGTGGGCCCACCAGGTATCTTCCAACTCTAGGATTCAATGTATTGTCAAAGGCTTTCATGGCCAAAATGACTGGGTTGTTGTAGGTTTTTCAGGCTGTATGGCCATGTTCCAGAAGCATTATCTCCTGACGTTTTGCCTGCATCTCTGCTAAGGGCATCCTCAGAGGTTCTAAGGTCCTCACAAGGTCACAGGAGAGAATGCTTCTGGAACATGGCCATACAGCCCAAAAAACAACTCTATGTTTCTGAGATTTTATGATTCTGCGTGAAATTCATGGCTGGAGACTGCCATGTGATGTGGGACTTCTCTCCCGATGGATTGGCACTTTGTCCTGGAGGCACAAGCTCCTCGTGGACAATCCCCTGACTGTCAGGAGGACAAACGAGCATTGATTGGATGTTCCTTCTCGCTTTCTTGGGACGATGGGGAGCGTTTGCAGTGGCCGTTCCTCCCGACTTAGCTGCTTGATCTCTGGGTCTGGTGCTCAGAAACTCCTTCTTCTTCTTCTTCTTGACCTGGAATCGGCTGGGCCACGGAGATCTTCAGGAGATCTTCACACACAGGCTTTCTCCTGTCAGCCTTCTGCTCTCAGTCGGGAAGCTTTTTGGACCCGTTTCCTTTCTGCTGTCCACTTAGGAACATACCCCACAAACACAACTTCACTTCGGATACTTTCAACAATTGCGTAGCCACAGATTTTATGGCAGGAATTTACCTGATGGCCAGGTGAAGAAGGAGAAGGTAGGAACACAGCTGCCAACCCATTCCTCCTCATTTCCTGGCGTGGCCTGGCTATGGTTTTTCTATTAGAAACTAGGAGATAATAATAATAATAATAATAATAATAATAATAATAATCCAATACAGCAGCCAGCAGAGTGTCTGCCGTGGACTCATCTTGTTGTGTTTCAAATAATAATAATCTATATAAATAAAAATGTCATGTTCGTTTGCGGGATTAACATAACTCAAAAACCACTGGATGAATTGACACAAAATTTGGACACAATAACAGTCCAACAAGTGCCCATTACTCATAAACACACACGCACACGCACAACCCCAGCGGAACAGACTTAAAAACCCAAAAAATACACCATATATACATACACACATACACTCATATACACATGCACACATTCATACACACACACACATACATATGCACACACACAGATATACACATATACACAAACATACATATACATACACACAGATATGCATGCACACATACATATATCCGCATACACATGCACAACATATACACAAACATACATATACATACACACAGATATACATACACACATACACTCATATACACATGCACACATTCATACACACACATATATATATGCACAAACACACACAGATATACACATATACACAAACATACATATACATACTGACCTTGAAGGAGCTGGGGGTGGTGACGAGCTGGGGGTGGTGACGGCCAACAGGGAGCTCTGGCGTGGGCTGGTCCATGAGGTCACGAAGACTTGGAGACGACTGAACGAATGAACAACAACACATATACATACACACAGATATACATGCACACATACATATATCCATATACACATGCACAACATATACACAAACATACATATACATACACACAGATATACATGCACATATACACATGCACACACATATATATCCACAGACATACATATATACATACAAATATGCATATAGACAAGCACACACATATACACAATATGCATACACACATATAAACACACAAATACACAAATATATACACACACTTATATACACCTATATATATGTGTGTGTGTGTGCAAACACACATAAATACACAAATATATACACATACATAAACATATATACACATAAAAAATACATATACACAGACTGGGCCACAGCAATGTGTGGCAGGGGACAGCTAGTAGTAGTAGTTGTTGTAGTAGTAGTAGTAGTAGTAGTAGAAGTAATAATAATAAATAACAACAATAATAATTCCAGCATGTATATCTCATTTGCTGTGTCATACTGTGCTTTTGTGTCAGTAACAACAACAACCACAACAACAACAACACTTTACTTCTACCCGGCCACCATCTCCCCAGAGAGACTCGGAACAGCTCACAGGATGCACTCAACAGTGCAACACAATACAAATACAGCCAAATAAAAAAAAAGGTAATAGTAATAACAATAAAATTAACCCCATTACACATAAAACAGTGATAAAAACCCCTATCAATTAAAGATACTTAAAAATCCGACAAGCTATAAAAGAGTGGCTATGTACAATATCTGGCCTCATAAAGTGACCACTCACTAAGTCAACCTGGGGGTCAAGACCCGGGGGGGGGGGTCGTGAAAGGGTGTCAGAGGGGTCACCAAAGACAATTGGAAAATGCAATATTTTCTGTTGGTCCTGGGGTTTCTGTGTGGGAAGTTTGGCCCAATTCTATCATTGGTGGGGTTCAGAATGCTCCCCGATTGCAGGTGAACTATAAATCCCAGCAACTACAACTCGCAAATGTCAAGGTCTATTTTCTGCCAAACTCCACCAGTGTTCCTATTTGGGCATATTGAGTATCTGTGCCAAATTTGATCCAGATCCATCATTGTTTGAGTCCACAGTGCTCTCTGGATGGAGGTGAACTACAACTCCCAAACTCAATCTCGATGCCCTCCAAAGGCTACAGCTGATGGGCTGCAACTCCCAGTGCCCGGTCAGGCTGCAACTCCAATCGTGTCCTAATTGGAATTGTGTTACTGTTATGAATCATAATGTAAATATCTGAAATGCAAGATGTATTTTCATTCACTGGGCCAAATTTGGCACAAATACCCAACAACAGCGCTCCACGCTGTCATGTCAGTCACATGACCTTGGAGGTGTCTATGGACAACACCGGCTCTTTGGCCTAGAAATTGAGCACCAACTCCCAGAGTTGGACACGACTGGACTTAATGTCAGGGGAAAACTTTTACCTTACCTTACCCAATATGCCCAAATTTGAACACTGGTGGGGTTGGAGGGAGAATTTGGGAGTTGTAGTTGCGGGGATTTATAGTTCACCTACAATCAAAGAGCATTTTGAACTCCATCAATGATGGAATTGGACCAAACTTGGCACACAGAACTCCAACCAACGAAAAATACTGGAAGGGTTTGGTGGGCAGTGTCCTTTGGTTTTGGAGTTGTAGTTCACCTGAATCCAGAGAGCATTGCATACTCAAACAATGATGGATCTGGACCAAACTTGGCACGGATACTCAATATGCCCCAACGTCAACACTGGTGGAGATTGGGGAAAATAGACCTTGACATTTGGGAGGCACAGTTGCTGGGATTTATAGTTCGCCTGCAATCAAGAGCCCTTGCCTGCTCCACACCCCTGCCTGCCGGCGGGAAAGCAATGCAGGTGAGGGACACCTTGCACAAGGTGGAGGAGCTGACCTGGAAAGCCTGGTTGTTTCCCTGGCATGGGCTGGCAGCCATTTTGAGAAGGTGGAGGGGCGGGGCCAACCAAGGCGCCTTCGCGACCCCCAGAAAATGGCCCAGCGACCCCCCTGGAGGTCGCAACCCCCAGGTTGAGAACTGCTGTCCTAAATGATCTGATGGGTGAGACTTTTTTTGTTGTGCTGCAACTCCCATCATCCCCGGCCTGCCTAGGAAAGGGGTAAGGATGTTGGGAGATGCGACCTGGCAAGTAGGTTAACCCATCTGAGCAACTGGAAGGAGAGCCACACCTTCAGTTGTGGCTCTCTGGATGTGTCTGCACTGCAACTCCTATCATCCTGTACCAGTTCCCACCACCGTCCAGCCCTCCAGGAGGACACCAGCCAGGCGTCCACTCAGAGGTCAGCCCTCATACCCATAGGTCACGTGCAACAAAATACACCCCCTCCAGGCACTTCCAGTTCTGCAAGAGTGACTTGGACAATATTGTGGCAGAGTGAAAATCACACGTAGTTGACGCTTTTACTAGTCGGCACACTGTCTTGCCAGAGAAAGAAAATATGCCACGCAGGTGATCAGTAAAGAATGATCTTTAGAAGTTTTCTATCCCGGTCTTCTCACCTCCAAGAAGGGACTCAGGCCGGTTCACAACATGTGTTCAAATACAATAATATACAAAAGCAACACAGTGCATCCTCATTACAGATTAAAAATATAAGTACAATAAAAACATCATCATCATCACATGACGCAAGCCAAGTTGTCAATACAGTCACAGTCACAGTTCATCCTCCTCCTTCCATGTGGACGAAGGTTATAGACTCAGTCCTCAAATGCCAAGTTCCAAAGCCAGGTCTTTATTAGTTTCCTGAAGGTCGGGGGGGGGGGGGAGCAGATCTAATCTCTAGTGGGAGGGAGTTCCAAAGCCGAGGAGCCACCACCGAGAAGGCCCTGTCCCTCGTCCCCACCAAACGCGATTGTGAAGGTGGTGGGACCGAGAGTAGGGCCCCTCCGGAAGATCTTAATAGCCTTGATGGTTCATAGGGGAGAATCCGTTCGGACAGGTAAACTGGGCCAGAGTCATTAAGTTTACTCTTTGTAATGCAGAGCAAAATAGATACAATCATGTAAACAGTTGCGTTGACTCACACAATGTCTTTTGAGAGAGATTCAAATGGTATTTCGGTGTCCATGCAGGAGATCTTCTTCCAGCAGCGCATGAAGCAAGACCAAAAATATAACTGTTGCCAAAACTCCCAGGCTCAGCTAGTCTCTTGGGTATAGCCCAACCAATCACCTTCATGCTTTGCATTTTCAGTTAACACACTCACCGACATTCCCTAACCAAAAAGCCCATCATGGTGTGGGGCGTCATTAATGTGGGGCAGGGGGGCAATTGGTCAACCACTGTGGGGGGCCTTCCTTGCTGCTTCCTTCACAGGTGTCTCCCACCTTCTTCCTCTCTCCACAGGGTGACTCCCTCTCTGGCCAGTTCTTGACCTCCACTCCAGGCGCCTGACCCTCAACGATGGCCCTGCTGGCCCGGCTGAAGCGTGGCTGCTCTCGACTCCGGCTGCTGTGGGGCCCGCTCTCCGTCCTGGCGACCCTCTCCTCCCTGGGCTTCCTGATCAGTGGTGGCCACGAGGAGCTGCTCTCGCACTCGCTGCCTTACTTCCTGCTCCGCGATGGGGGGCACCCCATCAGTCCACCACTCCTGCCCTCCTCGGATGCCTTCCTCCTCCTGCCGACGCCCGAGGCCTGCTCCCCGAAGGCCCCCTCCCTCCTGGTCATGGTGGTCAGTGCCCCCAGCCACGTGGTCCAGCGCCAGGCCATCCGCTCCACCTGGGGAGGGTCCCGCTGGGCCGGGGAGTTCACCGTCCGGACCTTCTTCACCCTGGGGCTGCCCCGGGAGCCCTTTCTTCAGGCGGTGCTGGAGCGGGAGGCGGCTGAGCACCGGGACCTGGTCCAGGGCCGTTTCCTGGACACCTATGGCAACCTGACCCTCAAGACGCTGGCCCTCATGGGTTGGGTGGCCACTCGCTGCCCAGGGGCCCTCTTCCTGGTCAAGGTGGACGACGACGTCTTCCTCAACCTGCCCGGCTTGGCCGAGGAGCTGGGCCGCCTCCCCGCCCTGGCCCCCGCTTACCTGGGCCGCATCCACTGGCGAGTCTGGCCCAGCCGGGACCCCCGCAGCCGCCACCACGTCCCCCGCAGTCTCTACCCAGGGGGGCCCTTCCCGCCCTACTGCAGCGGGACGGCTTATGTGCTCTCGGGGCCCGCTGTGCCCGCCTTGCTGGGGGCCGCCCGGCATGTGCCCCTGGTGCCCCTGGAGGACGTCTTCGTGGGGCTCTGTGCACGGCGTGCCAGCATCGCCCCGCAACACCTGGCCCGCATGAGTGGGGCGTCCCACCTGCCCCCAGACCCCTGCTGCTACCGGGGGGTCCTGCTCAGCGTCCACCACGTCACCCCCGAAGAGATGGCCATCATCTGGGACTCGGCCGCCCCCAACGAGGAGACCTGCCAGCTCTGGCAGCGGGCGCTGGGCTCCCTGCGGTGCAAGGCCTTGGCCTGGCTGGCCGCCCTCTGAGACCAGGAAGGGCCGATGTCCATTTGTCTGGACAAATGGACATTCAATTCAAAAGGTAGAGCCAAGGCACATAGATGGACATCACTCACTGTGCCTGCCTGTCCGTCCAGGCCTTTTAGCCAGACTAGAATTGGGAGGTCAAGCCATGTCCAGTGCCCTCTGGTCAGGCAGGTGGACACCTGTGAGACGAAGTGCCTGGATGGCCACTGTGAGACGAAGCATGGCCAGAGAAGTCTGGACAAATGGACATCCACTCTGGCGGTGAAGCCATGGCCAAGGCTCTCTGGTCAAGCTGCTGGGCTTCTTGCCGTCCATCACCAAGGCTCTCTCTGGTCAACCTGGTGGGCCTCCCTCTAGGCCAAGACTGGGAGCTGTTGCTTTATTTATTCCTTGCTTCTAGGGGTGCCCTGCCGGACCCCCGCCATCGCAAGTCCTAGGTTTGGTACTACCTCAAATGCTGTTGACTCAAAAAGAAAGGGAACTGCCCCCATTTTGCCAAAATGCACCCCATTCCTAACGCGGCACTGGTGGACGGTCCTTCCTTGCAGGGTGGGCCCTGCACCCCAGATCCCTGCACCCCAGATATAATGGAAGGAACAGTGTTCAAAACCTGTTGCCTTGTGTTCCCCTCTTTTGGGGAGAATGGGAAGGGGGGCAACGAGGATGGGTCTCTTTTCTTTGCCCGCAATTAAGCTTTGCACTCGAACGATAGGAAATAAAAATTATATGCAATATAAACAAGTCCTCATCTAATTCAATACTTTTCAGTAAAAATTGGATAGAACGATCCTCAAAGCTGAACTGTGGGTTTTCTACAAGGGTTGGGCTGGATGGCCTCCCGGACCCCCTCTTGATGCAGACATGGGGGGGGGGAGGGGGCCTTTTTGGTGTCTGTGTCCCCTCCAATTTCCCCCAGAATTGAGAAACACTGAGGAAACATAGCACATAAGAGGCAGCACAGGAATACCGGCAAACCCGTAGTAGAACCACTCCCTTGCTACTTAAAGTCTTTTTTTAAACCCGAAACAGCGAGTCTGCGAGAGGCGAACCGCGAAGTAGGAAGGGAACACCGTATCTGGCTATTCCAAAGGGATCCCAGTCCATCAAGGCGAGATAACAGAGCAGAGAAGGGAAAGGCAGCACAAAGGAGGTAAACAGGCAGCACGGGAATACAGCGGTCCCTCACTTTTCACGGGTGTTACGTTCCAGGACCACCCGCGATAAGTGAAGTTCTGCCAAGTAGGGAGGCCCCCTCCCCTTCCCCCCTCGGCCTCCTTACCTTCCTCCTCCTCCTCGTTGCTGCCTGGGCCTCTTGCTGCTACTTGGCCCCCCCATGATGCCTCCTCAACAGGCCTGTAGCAAGGGGGGGTTAGGGGTTCAACCCCCCCCCCCAAATTTTTCAGGTTAAAAAAAATAAACCTGGTTTACTCATGAATTTTAACTGGTTAACCCAATCTCCATGCTGCGAAGTCTATGAGACGCAAAAAATCAAGAGTCCCTCCAGAACTGCAAGCACTATTATCTCAAGCAAATATTGACAATTTATTCACACTGTCATTACTTGCAGCAATAGCTGATGTAGTGAAGCAACCAAGTTGGGGGGGGGGAGTATTGAATGCTCTCATTAAGGAGGCCAGACTTGGTGGAGGTGGTTGACAGGGCTGTGCTCTTGGCTTCAGTGTGCGCTAAGAGGCAGGTTTCAAGGAGAGCAAGGACCAATCTCGATCAAAGAGTGAAGAGTAGAGGCATCACACTGGCAACCAAGATCCATTGCCTAGTCCAAGCCATGGTCTTCCCCGTAATCACCTACGGATGTGAGAGCTGGACCTTAGGGAAGGCTGAGCGAAGGAAGAGAGATGCTTTTGAGCTGTGGTGTTGTTGGAGGAAAGTCCTGAGAGTGCCTTGGACTGCGAGAAGGTCCAACCAGTCCATCCTCCAGGAAAGAAAGCCCAACTGCTCATTGGAGGGAAGGAGACGAGAGGCCAAGATGAAGTCCTTTGGCCACATCATGAGGAGACAGCCAAGCCTAGAGAAGGGAATGATGCTGGGGAAAGTGGAAGGCAAAAGGAAGAGGGGCCGACCAAGGGCAAGATGGATGGATGGCATCCTTGAAGGGACTGGATTGACCTTGAAGGAGGCCCTGGGGGTGGTGACGGCTGACAAGGAACTCTGGTGTGGACTGGGTCCATGAAGTCACAAAGAGTTGGAAACGACTGAACGAATGAACAACAAAAACCCCGAAACAGAGAGTCTGCGATAGGCGAACCGCGAAGTAGCAAGGGAACACCTGTATCCGGCTATTCCAAAGGGATCCCGGTCCATTAAGGCCGGACAACGGAGCAGAAGGAGAAGGGCAGCACAAAAGAGGTCAAGAGGAAGCACGGGAATACAGTGTTCCCTCACTTACCCCAGGTGTTACATTCCAGGACCACCCGCGATAAGTGAAATTCTGCGAAGTAGGGAGGCCCCCTCCCCTTCCCCCCTCGGTTTCCTTACTTTTATTATTATTATTATTATTATTAACTTTATTTGCCCCCCGCTAGCATCTCCCAAAGGACTTGATGCGGCTTACAAGGCCAAGGCCTCAACACGACAACAGCAAAACAATAATGATACAATACAATACAATCAAATTAAAAACATAAGCAATAACAAAACATTGCACTATTACGCAATAAAAACCAGGGCCGGGCCAGTGATGGGTACAGGTTAAAAGTGCTGGGTGTGGCAGGTGGTATTTTGGATTTCCGGGCAAGTGCAATGTGCAGAGAGTCTTAAACTCTAATAAAGTGCTTCTGGGACATAGTGCTGGGGGTTATCCTATTCTGGAAAGGCACATCTGAATAGCCAGGTCTTCAAGTTCTTCCTAAAGACTGCCAGTGTGTGGGTGCTAGTCTAATGTCTTTGGGGAGGGTGTTCCAAAGTCGGGGGGCTACCACAGAGAAGGCCCTGTCCCTCGTCCCCACCAAACGTGCCTGTGACGCAGGTGGGATCGCGAGCAGGGCCTCTCCGGATGAACGAAGGGAACGCGTGGGTTCATAAAGGGAGATGCGGTCACGCAGGTAGGCGGGTCCCAAACCGCTTAGGGCTTTGTAGGTGAGCACCTGCACCTTGAATTGGGCCCAGAAAATGAACGGCAGCCAGTGGAGCTCCTTGAACAGGAGGGTTATTATTATAATTATTATTATAACTTTATTTGTACCCCGCTAGCATCTCCCGAAGGATTCGATGCGGCTTACAACAGGCCGAAGCCCACACAATACAACAATACAGTACATAGCAAATAAAACAGTTAAGCAGAAAACAAATACAGTAGCAATACAACAAGACATTATTAGAAACTGAGCCGGCCGGAGTAGGGCTACAGGATTAAAAGTGCTGATGTGTCGGCAGGATATGGGGTTATAGTATAAGAGCGGTGTGCAGTGTGCGGTGGTCTTGGAACTGACTAAAGTGCTTCTGGGATTTGGATCTGGGGTTTCTAGTCTGAGAAGGCACATTTGAACAGCCAGGTTTTCAGGTTTTTTCTGAAGACTGCCAGTGTAGGGGCTTGTCTGAGGTCTTTCGGGAGGGCGTTCCAGAGGCGGGGGGCCACCACAGAGAAGGCCCTGTCCCGTGTCCCCACCAAACTCGCTTGTGACGCAGGCGGGATCACGAGCAGGGCCTCTCCAGATGACCGGAGTGAGCGTGTGGGTTCGTAGACAACGATGCGGTCACACAGGTAGGGTGGTCCCAAACCGTTCAGGGCTTTGTAGGTAAGCACCTGCACCTTAAATTGGGCTCGGAAAATAAACAGCAGCCAGTGGAGCTCTTTAAACAGGAGGGTTGACCTCTCTCTGTAATGGGCCCCAGTTAACATTCTGGCCGCTGCCCGCTGGACCAATTGGAGTTTCCGAGCCGTTTTTAAGGGCAGCCCCACGTAGAGCGCATTGCAGTAATCCAGTCTAGAGGTGACTAAGGCGTGGACCACCCCGGCCAGATCAGCCTTAGCGAGGTACGGTTGCAGCTGGCGCACAAGTCTCAGTTGTGCAAAAGCCCTCCCGGCCACCGCCGAAGCCTGAGCCTCAAGCGTGAGCGATGAATCCAGGAGGACTCCCAAGCTACGGACCTGTGGCTTCAGGGGGAGTGTAGCCCCGTCCAGCACAGGTTGCCACCCTACACCCCGATCTGGCTTACGATCGACCAGGAGGACCTCTGTCTTGTCGGGATTGATCTTCATCTTGTTCCTCCTCATCCAGACAGACACAGCGGCCAGGCACTCGTCCAGCACCCGAGGGGCCTCCTTGGAATTGGGTGGAAAAGAGTAGTAGAGTTGTGCGTCATCTGCGTAGAGATGGCCCCCAACTCCAAAACTCCGGATGACCTCTCCCAGCGGTTTCATGTAGATGTTGAATCTCTCTCTGTAAGGAGCACCGGTTAACATCCTGGCCGCCGCTCATTGAACCAGTTGGAATTTCTGAGCCGTTTTCAAGGGCAGCCCCACGTAGAGCGCATTACAGTAGTCCAATCTAGAGGTGACCAAGGCATGGACCACCCCGGCCTTGCCTTCCTCTTCCTCTTCCTCCTCCTTGTTGCCACCTGGGTCCCACCACGCCTTCTCAATCCTCAATGTTCCCTCGCTACTAAAAGTCTTTTTTAAAAAAACAAAACCCGAAGCAGCGAGTCTGCGAGAGGCGAACCGCGAGGTCGCAAGGGAACGCCTGTCTCCGGCTATTCCAAAGGGATCCCAACGTCAGACCAGTTTGTGCTCAGAACTGTCCCACCAGACTCCATAAAGGATTTGTTCATGGCACGTTTCACTTCATCTGTACCATCTGAGTAAATCTGCTGGAAAAGTTGGTTTAAAGCGGCATCTCCCTCCAACTTTTCACTCTTTTCCTCTTCTTTGAGCTCTACCACCAATTTGTCCCAGTTCCTTGTATAATGAGAGGAAGGTGGGTAGAGAAGCATGGATTCTGGTGTCAATTGTTTTGCTTTAGGAGACGCTTCACGTCCTTCCAGTTTTTCCCATCGTATAGCTTCTGGTTTCTTCATCTTTATTTCAATCTTAGTTGAAAGAACTTTGAATGAACTCTGTTCAGGAATTATGGGAGGAAGAAGATGGAGATTTAAGCTGCACTCTTCCTCTGAAGAAAGCTTCACCAACGCATTTAGCTCTCTCTCTAAGAAATGTCTGTTGACCTCATCCTTCTTGACATTCTTGATCATAACAGTCACAATTACATGAGATTCTGTTTGGTACCAGTCATACTTGGGCTTAGTTGGCTGTGACTGCACTTCAGAACGTGATCCTGTATTGATGGCTTCTTCACATCTTTTAATCCAAATAGTAAAATCTGTATCAGCACCATAGAAACATAGAATCATAGAATCAAAGAGTTGGAAGAGACCTCCTGGGCCATCCAGTCCAACCCCATTCTGCCAAGAAGCAGGAATATTGCATTCAAATCACCCCTGACAGATGGCCATCCAGCCTCTGTTTAAAAGCTTCCAAAGAAGGAGCCTCCACCACACTCCAGGGCAGAGAGTTCCACTGCTGAACGGCTCTCACAGTCAGGAAGTTCTTCCTCATGGTCAGATGGAATCTCCTCTCTTGTAGTTTGAAGCCATTGTTCCATTGCGTCCTAGTCTCCAAGGAAGCAGAAAACAAGCTTGCTCCCTCCTCCTCCCTGTGGCTTCCTCTCACATATTTATACATGGCTATCATATCTCCTCTCAGCCTTCTCTTCTTCAGGCTAAACATGCCCAGTCCCCTAAGCCGCTCCTCATAGGGCTTGTTCTCCAGACCCTTGATCATTTTAGTCGCCCTCCTCTGGACACATTCCAGCTTGTCAATATCTCTCTTGAATTGTGGTGCCCAGAATTGGACACAATATTCCAGGTGTGGTCTAACCAAAGCGGAATAGAGCATGGGGAGCATGACTTCCCTAGATCTAGACACTAGGCTCCTCTTGATGCAGGCCAAAATCCCATTGGCTTTTTTTGCCGCCACATCACATTGTTGGCTCATGTTTAACTTGTTGTCCACGAGGACTCCAAGATCTTTTTCACACGTACTGCTCTCGAGCCAGGCATTGTCACCCATTCTGTCTCTTTGCATTTCGTTTTTCCTGCCAAAGTGGAGTATCTTGCATTTGTCACTGTTGAACTTCATTTTGTTAGTTTTGGCCAATCATCTCTCTAATCTGTCAAGATCGTTTTGAATCCTGCTCCTGTCCTCTGGAGTATTGGCTCTCCCTCCCAATTTGGTGTCGTCTGCAAACTTGATGATCTTGCCTTCTAACCCTTCATCTAAGTCATTAATAAAGATGTTGAACAGGACCGGGCCCAGGACGGAACCCTGTGGCACTCCACTTGTCACTTCTTTCCAGGATGAAGAGGAAGCATTAGTGAGCACTCTCTGTGTTCGTCCACTTAACCAATTCCTGATCCACCTCACCGTAGTTTTGCCTCGCCCACATTGGACTAGTTTCCTTGCCAGAAGGTCATGGGGGACCTTGTCGAAGGAAAATCCACCCAGTTTTTGTCCGTCAGTGAGAGACTTCAGTGCCGATATGTAGTTTTTCATATGATATTCACCAATCCCTTGTCTGAGAAAGGCTTTAGCATTATTGGGATCGAGAGACAGTGTCCTCTTTGCGTCTGTAATGGCATCATGGTAATTTTGTAGAAGAATGTACGCACAATATGCTCTTTGACAAGAATACTCTGCATGATCTGGCTTCTGTTCTATGGCTGCCGTCAGCTTCTGCACGGCGCCCGCGGGGTCCTTCTCGACGTCGCACTCCCTCAGCCGCGAGACTCCCGTTCCTGCCGCCTCCGCCATCATGGCCCCGCCGAGGAAACTTCTAGAGCGCGAAGATTTTGTTTCTTTCCGCTGTCGCGCGCGCCCTGTGACCGGTCCACTAAGGCCGGACAACGGAGCAGAGAGGGAAAAGGCAGCACAAAGGAGGTCAGGAGGCCACAGCCGAATACCTGCCGATTCCGATCCTTTTTTCTCCGAATGACCGATCATGAAACCAAGACAACGAACAAACAGCTTTTGTTTTATTTTAGCAAAATATTCAAAGGGGGGGGGGGTTAGGCTGAAGAAGAACAAGGGGGGGGGCTGGGGGTGTTCTTATCCCTTGTCCTTTAGGGGGGGCATGGGGTTCCCCTTTTCACCCCCACGGGGGCAACGCTGGTCTTCCTTATTTTGCGTATCGGGATTTCCTTCCCACGAAAGGCGAGGGGGGGGGGGGCTACTTCTGGAAGCGGTCCAGCGCTGACCGCAGGCCTTTCTGGGAGGGGAGCCCCCCCTTGCCCCCCTTCCCTTCCTTCTCCTTGGCGACTGTCGCTTCCTTCTCGGCTATACTTTTCCGGATCGCAGCCTATTTGGGGGACAAGGGGGGGGGGCATTTGGGGGAAGGGGTCAGAGGGGAAACACAGGAGCCGAGGGGGAAATCGTTATTTACTGATTTGCAGTATCTTTTTTTTTTAATTATATATGTTTCTTTTAATACATACACAACATGGATAGTTCCCACCACCACGAGGATTGTTTTCTTTTACGTATTAATCCTTTTTGAGATGAACCTTGTAAATTAACATACTATATAACATTTGTATCCTATTTCTTTCTTTCTTTCTTTTTCTTAAATATTTCTTAAATTAATGATTTGACACAATCTCATATATAATCAGGAAATACTGGAACATGTCTAGATCTGTATGTAGACCACAACTTGGACAAAGTAAGTATAACCTATTATCCCATTCACTCGAGTTTAAGGCACTTTCAAAGGAAAATCCATGCAAACTATTCCTCACTAGAACTGTGTCCGTCTATCGAGCAGCAAGAGTGTCATCAGCTACTCCCACCCCCATATCATATGCAAAAAAAAAATTAAATGCCAATGTATTTTTGGGGGGGGGGGGGAGGTTCCTTGCAAGGCAAGAAATGTCTCTTCACGCTCAAGATGGTTTCAGAGTATGCCCAAATACATCTTGATATTACAGTATTTGCAGTATTGATACCCTGACCTTCTCACCCTGAAGGGGACTCAGAGCAGCTTACAGAACGCACATACGGCTGATTAGACCACTAACAAGGACACACAACACAAGTAAAGGCAGTTTTCCCCTTCCTATTTCCAGCCTCTTGGAGGCTGTGCTCAACTCCGGCCAGAGGGGGGGCTGTTGCTCCCTCTTCCACGCTGAGGAGCTTTCCTCCAATCAATGCCCGTAAGAGCGCCTGTATTACCAATTCAAGAGAGATATTGACAATCTGGAATGTGCCCAGAGGAGGGCGACTAAAGTGATCACGGGTCTGGAGAACAAGCCCTATGAGGAGCGGCTTAAGGAGCTGGGCATGTTTAGCCTGAAGAAGAGAAGGCTGGGAGGAGATATGATGAGGGCCATAGATAAATATGTGAGAGGAAGCCACAGGGAGGAGGGAGCAAATCAAGGGTCTGGAGAACAAGCCCTATGAGGAGCGGCTCAAGGAGCTGGGCATGTTTAGCCTGAAGAAGAGAAGGCTGAGAGGAGATATGATGAGGGCCATGTATAAATATGTGAGAGGAAGCCACAGGGAGGAGGGAGCAGATCAAGGGTCTGGAGAACAAGCCCTATGAGGAGCGGCTTAAGGAGCTGGGCATGTTTAGCCTGAAGAAGAGAAGGCCGAGAGGAGATATGATGAGGGCCATGGATCAATATGTGAGAGGAAGCCACATGGAGGAGGGAGCAAGCTTCCTTTCTGCTTCCCTGGAGACTAGGACGCAGGAGGAGGAAGAGGAAGAGGAGGACATGCATAAGAAGTGGAAAAAGGGAGAAATCACCAAAGAAGAATTCAAACAAATAGCCAACACCTGTAGGGAAAAGGTCCACAAGGCTAAAGCATAAAACGATTAGGACAAGGAACGATGGCTTCAAACTACAAGAAAGGAGATTCCATCTGAACATGAGGAAGAACTTCCTGACTGTGAGAGCCGTTCAGCAGTGGAACTCTCTGCCCCTTGTGAAGTGTGGTGGCCTCCGAGGCTCCTTCTTTGGAAGCTTTTAAACAGGGGCTGGATGGCCATCTGTCAGGGGTGCTTTGAATGCAATATTCCTGCTTCTTGGCAGAATGGGGTTGGACTGGATGATGGCCCAGGAGGTCTCTTCCAACTCTATGATTCTAGGATTCTATGACCTCCCCGCTAAAAGTGGTACCTATATATCTACTCGCTGTTTGGTGTCAATTCGCCCCGTGGTTTTTGAGTTATGTTAATCCCACAAACTAACATTACATTGTTATTTAAATAGACACAATATATTGTATTATGAGCATAACACAGTATTATATATTACTGTATTGTACTATGTCACTATTCTGCAATATTATTAGTAACAGCACATGTAATATATAACCCAGGAGAGTCTTGCTTATCCGACATTCCGTCTTCTCCGACGCTCTTCTGAGACGCCCACCTTCAATTCAAGGCGTGCATTTCCCCGACTCTCTCTCCATTCCCAGTAAGTGGAAAAGGCAAGACGAGGAGGAAGAGGAGGGGGGGAACGAGGCATGGCCGGAAGCGGAAGTGCCCTCATAGAATCATAGAATCCTAGAATCCTAGAGTGGGAAGAGACCTCCTGGGCCATCATCCAGTCCAACCCCATTCTGCCAAGAAGCAGGAATATTGCATTCAAAGCACCCCTGACAGATGGCCATCCAGCCTCTGTTTAAAAGCTTCCAAAGAAGGAGCCTCCACCACACTCCCTCCGGGGAAGGCAGAGAGTTCCACTGCTGAACGGCTCTCACAGTCAGGAAGTTCTTCCTCATGTTCAGATGGAATCTCCTCTCTTGTAGTTTGAAGCCATTCTTCCATTGCGTCCTAGTCTCTCTCCAAGGAAGCAGAAAACAAGCTTGCTCCCTCCTTCCCTTTGTGATTTCCACGGATGCTCCTCTTCCGCATCATCCCCTGGGCACTTCCTGCCGGCCCGCTCCAGCCCCGAAGCCTTAACCTTTGGAGTCCCTGTGGTGAGTGTCCGAAGGGTCCAGCATCGGGGGTGAGAAGGGCGGGGTAGAAATGGCGTAAATAAATAAATAAAAATCATGTCGGATGGGAAACAGAAGGAAACTGTATTATCCGACATTTTCATTATCCGACATTCTGCCGGCCAGGTTATGTCGGATAAGCGAGACTCCACTCTACTCCTACTATCACTTTGGGGGGGGGGGGGGGTTGGAATGGTGTTGTTGTTTGGGAAGTGTGGTTGTTGCTGTTGTGTTCTAGTGTGCTCACCCGGTGCTCCTCGGCGGCCACTTTCTTCTTCCTCCGGAGCCGGTGGGCGGCCGAGTCGCGCCCCTTCATCCTCTTCCGCGGGCGGAAACCCTCTTTGGCCTCGGGGTCGAAGCCCTGCGTTTGGGGGACGGACAGCAATGCAGGCCCAGGCGAAGGAAGAGCGGAGGGATCCCCAGGGGCCATCCATCCCACCCCCCTCACTGCTCCCTATGGGGGGGGATGCACCAAGAGTGACCCTTGACCCCCCCCCCATGTTGGGCCTCCTCCTCCTCCGCGCTCACCAGCCTCTCGACGCGCTCCTTCTGCCGCTGCTCCATGGAGATGGCGTCCACCGTCCCGAGCTGGCCCGAGTCCATAGAGATGAGCTCAAAGGGGATCTGTGGGGGGAAAGTGGGGCAGGAGTGACCCTTCACCTCCCAAGGCCCCAAAGGAGCCGCCCGAAAGGGAGAGTCGCATTGGCAACAGCATCACTACAATGGCCGCGGGACAGACCCGGGTTCAAGAGAGGACCACAGCTCTCTTGGGTGTAAGCTGCAGCTTTGAGAGGAAAGGAGAAGGGGGGGGGGGCTGCAAAGGCCTTGACCCGCTGCCCACGGAAGGGCCCCCACCTTCTCCAGGAGGGCCTTGACCTCCCATTCCTGCCGCTGCTTCTTGCTCCGGAAGGGGTTGCTCTCCAAGGCGTCGAAGTTGGGCTCCCCGGCTCCTGGAAGGCAAAGGGGGGGATTGCAGGGGGGCCACCAACAATGGGGCCCCGTGCCCCCCTTCTTCTTCTTCCCCCACCCCTCCCTCCTGGCCTGAGAGACAAGGGGTCCAGATGGATGACCTCCGGGGTCCCCTGTCCCTGAATCCTCTTGCACCCCACCTCCCAAGCCCCGCCCCCTTGCCACAGTCCCGCCTCTTCCTGTTTACCTGGCACCAGGAGGCTGGCGAATCCGTCTTGGTGACCGACCCCAAGGACGTCCTCAAAGGGGCAGAAGCGGAGGGCGTGGGCCGGGCGGGGCAAGGCGTGGCACAGGTAAGGCTTGGAGGGTGGGCCCAGCAGGATGTCCTTGTACACCTGGGGAGGAAGAGGAAGCAGAAGGTGGAGGAAGGGCAGGAGGAAGGAAGTGAAAAAAGAGGAAGAGGAAGGAAGAGCGGGAGGAAGAGAAAGGAGGTGAAGAAAGAGGAAGAGGAAAGAAGAGGAAGAGCAGGAGGAAGAGGAAGGAGGAGGTGGAGGAAGAACAGGAGGAAGAGAAAACAGGTGGAGGAAGGGCAAGAGGAAGAGGAAGGAGGTGAAGAAGGAAAGAGGAAGAGAAAGGAGAAGGTGAAGGAAGAGAAAGAAATGGGGAGGAAGAGCAGGAGGGGCAGGAGGAAGGAAGTGAAAAAAGAGGAAGAGGAAGGAAGAGCGGGAGGAAGAGAAAGGAGGTGAAGAAAGAGGAAGAGGAAAGAAGAGGAAGAGCAGGAGGAAGAGGAAGGAGGAGGTGGAGGAAGAACAGGAGGAAGAGAAAACAGGTGGAGGAAGGGCAAGAGGAAGAGGAAGGAGGTGAAGAAGGAAAGAGGAAGAGAAAGGAGAAGGTGAAGGAAGAGAAAGAAGAGGGGGAGGAAGAGCAGGAGGAAGAGAAAACAGAAGGAGGAAGGGCAGGAGGAAAAGAAAGAAAGAGGAAGAGGTGGAGAAAGAGAAAGTGGAAGGTGAAATAGGAGGAAGAAGAACAAGAAGGTAGAGGAAGAGGGGGTTCCCGGGGCGGGGCTTCTCACCTGGACGACGTCCTGGCAGGCGGCCCCCAGGAGGCCCCTCTGGCTGAAGTCCAGCTGCCCGGCGGCCGCAGAAGGGAGCAGCAGGGAGTGCAGGCGCCCAAAGGAGCGCAGGTCGTACACGTGCACCTTCCGGTCCACCCCGGACGTCGCCATGTACCTGCACGGGGGGGGGGGGGGGGGGGCCAGCCCCCACAGGTGAGGGTCATGTGACCATGTGCTCCCTCTGCACTGACCCCCCCCCCACTCTGGGCCCCCCCGACTCACGTGCCAGAAGGGTCAACGGCCAGGGCACGGACGGCCGAGCGGTGGCAGAGGATGCGGGCCAAGGGCTCCTTCACGTTGGGGCTCCAGAGGGTCACCGTCCCTGAAGAGAGGAGGAGAGAAGAGGAGGAGGAGAGAAAGGAAGAAGAACAGAAGGAGGGAGCGAGAGAAGGAGAGAGAAAAGAAGGGGAGAGTAAAGATGTGGAGAGAGAGAGGGAGAGAAGGGAAAGAAAGGGAAGAAGAGCAGAAGGAGATGAGAGAATAAAAAGGGAGGAAAAGAAAGAGAAGAGGAAAAGAAGATAAAGAAAAGAAAAGGAGGAGAGAAAAACAGAAGGAGAGAGGAAAAGAAGGGTGAAGAAAAGGTAGGAAGGACAGAGAGAGAAAGGAGAGAAGGAGAAGGAGGAAGAAGAAGAGAGAAAGGGAAATGGAGGGAAAAGATGGAGAGAGGAAAAGAGAGTAGTGAAGGAAAGTAGAGGAGAGGAAAAGGAAACAAAAGGAAGCAAGAGGGAAAGTAAGAGAGAGAAGAACAGAAGAAGAAAGGGAAAAGAGGAAAGGGAGGAGAGAAGAAGGGGAGGGAAAGAAGAAGAACAGAAGGAGGGGAGGGGAAGGGTGAAGAGAAAGAAGAAGAGAATGAGCTGGTGATCCTAAAGTGGATTTCTCCCAGTTCATGGGGACTCTTCTTACCCTTTATGCCCTGCTTCTTCTCTCCGCGAGGAGGCTCAAAAGGACGAGGCAGGACAAGAGTCCATTTCCTCAGGACAACACCTCTAAGGGCGCGTCTGCACTGCAGGATGAATGCAGTTTGGGAGGGAAAGGGCCTCTCCTTCTTTCCCCCTCTTCTTTCCTTTTCTACTTCTCTTCTCCTTCTTTCCTTCTCCCCTTTCCTCTTTTTCTCTCATCTTTCCTTCCCTCCTTTATTTCCTTCTCTTCTCCTTTTTCCTCCCTTCCTTCTCCCCTTTCCTCTTTCCCTCTCCTTCTTTCCTTCCCTCCTTTATTTCCTTCTCTCCTTTCTCTCTTTTCCTTCTTGTCTCTCTTTTCTTGTCTCCACTCTCCACTTTCTTCTCTTCCTTCTCCACCTTTTTTTCCTTTCTCCACCTTCCCTTTCCCTTCTGTTTCCTCCTTCCTTTCCTTCTCTCCCTCACTTCTTCTTCCCTTTCTTCTCTCTTCCCCCTTCTTTCATCTTCCATTCATTTTCTCCTCTCTCCTTCTCCTCCTTCTTCTTCGCCTGGCTTGGACTGCCTGGCACCCTGGGAGGGGTATTTCCGGCCTCCCAACCTGGACTCACCTTCTCCCCTTTCCTCTTTCCCTCTCCTTCTTTCCTTCCCTCCTTTATTTCCTTCTCTCCTTTCTCTCTTTTCCTTCTTGTCTCCCTTTTCTTGTCTCCACTTTCTTCTTTTCCTTCTCCCTTCACCTTTTTCTCCTTTCTCCGCTTTCTCTTCCCCTCCTGTTTCCTCCTCCTTTCCTTTTCTCCCTCACTTCTTCTCCCCTTTCCTCACTCTTCCCTTTCTTTCCTCTTCCATTCATTCTCTCCTTCTTTCCCTGGGAGGGGCATTTCCCCCGCCGGACTCACCGTTGCTGTGCCCGAGGTGGACGATGGCGTTGGAGGGGTTCTGGGCCATGACCCCCAGCCGGCCCCCCTTGGTGAGGATGCAGGACACCTCCTGGCCCACCGACACGTCCAGGTACTGCAGGAAGCCCGAGTCGCTCTGCGTGTCCCAAGCAGGGAGGGAGGGAGGGGGAAGCTCAGGCAGGGAAAGGCCACATCTCCCCCCCCCTCCCCGTGCCCCCCGCCCCGGCCCCTCTTGCCGGTCACTCACGGCGGTGGCCAGGAGGAAGTGGAAGGGCAGGAACTCCATGCGCTGGACGCGGTGGAAGCGCTTGAGGCAGTGCAGCTCGATGCCTTGGCTGTCGTAGACGTAGAGCCAGCGCCCCTGCGAGGCCGCAAAGAGGGACTCCGAGTGCAGCCACCTGCGCCAAGGGGGGAAGGAAGGAAGCGGGGGAAGGAAGGAAGCGGGGGAAGGAAGGACAGGAAGTGGGAGGGAGGGAGGGAGGGAGAAATTGGGGAGAAGGACGGGAGAAAAGAAGGAGGTAGGAAGGAAATGGGGAGCAAGGAAGGAAGGAAGGAAGGAAGGAAGGAAGGGGAGGAAGAAGGGAGAAAGGAAGGAGAGGAAAGAAGAAAGAGAGGGGAAGGAAGGAAGGGAGGGATGGAAGGAAGTGGGGAGAGGAAAGAAGAAAAGAGGGAGAAAGGAAGTGGAGGGAGGGAAGAAGTGGGGAGAAAAGGAGGAATTAATAAAGAGAAAAGGAGAGAAGGAATGGATGGAAAGAGGGAGGGAGGAGCGAAGGAACGAAGGGAGGGATCAAAAGAAGTGGGGAGAGGAAATAAGGAAGGAGGGAGGGAGGAAGTGGGGAGAGGAAGAAGGGAAGGAAGAAAGGAAGGAGGGAGGGAGGGAGGGAGGGAGGGAGGGAGGAAGGGAAGTGGGGAGTGGAAAGAAGAAAGAAGGGAGAGAGGGGGGAGAAGAGTTGGAGGAAGAAGGAGGGGAGAAAGGAAGAAAGAAAGAAGGAGGAAGGGAAGGGGGGGGAAGAAGTGGGGGAAAGGAAGGAAGGAGGAGGAAAAGGAGGGAAGGAAGGATGGAAGGAAGGAAAAGGAGGGAAGGAAGAAGGAGGGAGGAAAAGGAAGGAAGGAAGGGGGAGAGGAAGAGAAAGAGGGAGAAAGGAGGAAGGAAGAGGAAGAAGGGAAGGAGGGAGGGAATGAGGAAGGAAGGAAGTGGGAAGAGAGGAAGGAAGGAAGGAAGAAAGGAAGGAGGAAGGGAAAAGGAGGGAAGGAAGGAAAAAAGGGAAGGATGGAAGAAGTGGGAAGAGAGGAAGGAAGGAAGGAAGGAAGGAAGGAAGGAAGGAAGGAAGGAAGGAGGGAGGGAGGGAGGGAGGGAGGGAGGGAGGGGAAAGGAAGGAAGGAAGGAAGGAAGGAAGGAAGGAAGGAAGGAAGGAAGGGAAGGAAGGAAGGGAGGAAAGGAAAGGAGGGAAGGAAAGGGAGGGGAAGGAAGGGGAAGAGGAAAGGAAAAGAGGAAGGGGGAGAAGGGGGAAGAGGAAGAGGAAGGAAGGAGGAGGAAGGAAGAAGGGAGAGGAAGAAGGGAGGGAAAGGAAGGAAAGGAAAAAGGAAGGGAGGGAAAGAAGAAAGGAGGGAAGAAGGAAGAAGAGGAAGGAGAGGGAAAAGGAGGAGGGAAGAATAAAGGAGGGAGGGAAGGAGAAGGGGAAGGAAGGAGAAAGGAGGAAGAGAATGAGGAAATGGTAAGAAGGAATGGGACAGAATAGAAAGGAAACAAAGGAAGAGAAATGAAGGGAAGAAAGAAGGGGCAAAGGAAGGAAAGCCAGAGCAAGAAGAGAAAAGAAAAGAAAAGAAAGAGGGAGGAAGGTATATGAAGAAAAGCAAAGGAGGAAGGAAGGAAGAGAGAGGGGGAAGTTGCATTAGGGAAAGGGATGAAGGAAGAATGGAATCGGGGAGAGGAAGGAATGAAATGGGGCAGGGGGGAAACGGAAGAGAGGGGTGGGAGAGGGAGGAAGAAAAAAGAAGGGAAAGAGGTAAAAAGAGAGAGGAGAAAGGAAGAAAGTAGGGGAAGAAGGAGGGAAGAGGAGCCAAGAGGGGGAGAAGAGGTTAAGGGGTGAGTAGGCGGGAGGAGGCCCTGTCACCCCAAGACGTCGGCCCTCTTGCCCCACCATCGATTGGTGGTCGGCTCCCATGTTTTTCCCGTGTGACTCACGTGACGTCGGTGAGGGTCTCCATGACGTTGATCTCGCACATCAGAGCCTTGGTCTGCCAGTCGAGGGCGGCCACGTGGCCCCTGTGGCCCCCCAGGAGGAGGTGCCTGAGGGCGGGAGAGAGAGAGCGTGGGAAGGCTTGGCGTGGCATCACGTGTCAGGCCAAAGGGACATGCCACAGAATCAGAAAGACTTGGGCCAACTTGGGCCCTCCCTCCAGGTGTTTTGGACTTCAACTCCCACCATTCCTAACAGCCTACCGGCTGTTAGGAATGGTGGGAGTTGAAGTCCAAAACACCTGGAGGGCCAGAGGGAGGGAGGGAGGGAGGGCCCAAGTTGGCCCATGCCGGACCTCGGTGGCCCACTCACCTGCCGTTGCGTGTGTAGCTCAGCCGGTAGGGCCCAAACTGGTCCAGCCTCAGCTCAAAGCGCTGTTTCGGAAGAAGAAGAGGGAGTGAGGAAGGAGGGGGGGTCCCCAAAGGGAAGCCCCCCTCCCCAGAATGGAGTTTCCATTGCTTCCCCCGCCCGCCCCCACCTTGGCTCCGGCGGCCAGGTCCACGGCCTCCGCGATGTCCGCCTGCGAGATGGTGCACGTGTCCTCCCCCTCGTCGCCCTCCAGGAATCTGCAAAAATTGAGAGGGGGTGACATGTAGTATACCTGGGGACAGCCTTTGGACTACATGTCCCATCTCTTGTGAGGTTTTGCATGGAAGCATTAGGCCACAAACAAGCTTTGGGAATGTATATACACACATATACATATACACATGCCTATACACATACATATACACATATATACACACACATATATATACACAAACACACACACACACATATATATATATATTTACTTTATTTATATACCGCTCTTCTCAGCCCTTAGGCGACTCAGAGCGGTTAACAACAAACAGCAGCAACAATTCAATGCTGGCATCATGCAAACCATGTAAAAACAATTAACGCAATAATACACTAAGCAATTAACATCAATAAACATCAATAAACAACTCATTAGCGTCTCATAATTAAATCATAATCCAAGCTCGTCATCCGTAGTTCCGATTTCCTATATATACACGCAAACACACATATATACACAAATATACACACATACATATATACACACAAATATGCATGTAACATATAAACACACAAATACACAAATATATACACACATATATACACCCACATACACACACATATATATATATACGCAAACACACATATAAACACACAAATACACAGATACACACACACACATATATATGAAAACACACATATATACACAAATACACACACACAAATATGCATATAGACAAGCACACACATATGCACAATATGCATGTAAACATATAAACACACAAATACACAAATATATACACACATATATACACACATATACACCCACAAACACACACACACATATATATATATACGCAAACACATATATAAACACACAAATACACAGATATACAGACACACACACATATATATGCATACACACATATATACACAAATACACACACACACATATATACACACAAATATGCATACAGACAAGCGCACACATATACACAATATGCATGTAAACATATAAACACACAAATACACAAATATATACACAAATATATACACACATATACACACAAACACATATATATATATGCATACACACATATATACACAAATACACACACATATATACACACAAATATGCATATAGACAAGCACACACATATACACAATATGCATGTAAACATATAAACACACAAATATACAAATATATACACACATATATACACCCACATACCCACACACATATATATACGCAAACACACATATATACACAAATACACACACACACATATATACTAGGCCTGTTTGATCAAGAAAAAATTTGTTTCTAAAATCGTTTTGTAATTGGGGTGTTTTTTTGTTTCGATATTTAAAATAATTACAAAACTTTCCCAAAAAAAGTTTTGGTATTTACAAAATTTTGTAAATATTAACGAATTTTTAGAATATTTTTTGTATTTTTTAAGAATAATATTAAAATAATATTAAAAAATAATATTAAAAATAATATTAAAAATAATATTAAAATATTTTAAAATGGAAAATTAACCAAAAAATGGCCCAAATGTGGACCAAACACAGGCAGGAGACAGCAAATGAGAGCACACACCAACAGAAGAGTCTTTTCTTTTATTTTTTAAGAATAATATTAAAAAATAATATTAAAAATAATATTAAAAATAATATTAAAAAATATTTTAAAATGGAAAACAAAACCGCACAGGCCTACTATACAGACATAGCGGGTTTGAGTCAGACCCAGCTAACACCTCCCAACAAAGGATTCCCCTGAGCAGGAAGGAGCCAGACTTTGAAGCTACAAGGCCATTTAATCCCAATCAAGCTGTCCAATGGCAACATTCACACTTGCCTCCAACAGACAAGAGTTCTTTCTCACACCCTGGACCTTCTACAGCCAGGCTTTGAAGCTGCGAGGCCATTCAATGCTAATCAAGGTGGCCAATGGCAGCATTCACAATTGCCTCCAACAGACAAGGGTTCTTTCTCCCACCCTGGACGTTATTTCACAGGGATATAAACCCTACTTGCCTAGTTTCCAACAAACCTCTGAGGATGCCTGCCATAGATGTGGGCAAAATGTCAGGAGAGAATGCTTCTGGAACATGGTCATACAGCCCAGAAAACTCACAGCAAGCCTGGATGCAGCCTTCAATTCTCAGGCGGGCCACGGAGGCAGAGCCGGCGCTGCAGGAATCCCCTCCCCGGCTCCTGCGCTCCGGCTCCTGCGCCCTCCTCCTCCTCCTCCTCCTCCCAGCTGTGTTGCATGGCGATCGGATGGCGCGCGGAGGCCGGTTGTAAGGGTGAGCGCGCGCGCGCCATCCAATCGGCTCCGGCTCCTGCGCCCTCCTCCTCCTCCTCCTCCTGGCACTTCCTGCAACACAGCTGGGAGGAGGAGGAGGAGGAGGGCGCAGGAGCCGGAGCCGATTGGATGGCGCGCGCGCGCTCACCCTTACAACCGGCCTCCGCGCGCCATCCGATCGCCATGCAACACAGCTGGGAGGAGGAGGAGGAGGAGGAGGGCGCAGGAGCCGGAGCCGATCGCCGCCCCTTCGCCCCGCCCGCCCCATTTACAAAACGGGCGAAAGCTCGTAAATACTCTGGTAGTTGCCGTTTCGATATTTAAAAACCCTTCCGGGTTTGAAAATATGTTTTGAAATCGCTTCGGATATGGTAAAAATAACAAAACATTAACGAAATAATAAATATACACATGCACACACATATACATATGCATATACACATACACACAAATATGCATATAGACAAGCACACACATATACACAATATGCATGTAAACATATAAACACACAAATACACAAATGTATACACACAAATATACACCCACCCACCCACCCTCCCACACACACACACACACACACACACACACACACACACACACACATATATATGCAAACACACATATAAACACACAAATACACAAATATATACACACATATATACACCCACCCACCCAACACACACACACACAAACACACATATATACACACACAAAAACCACATATACGCAGGCTGGGCCACAACAACGCGTGGTAGGGGACGCCTAGTCATATAGATACTACTACTAGTACTACTACTCCTCCTTTACCCGGGTTCCTCCAGAAGGAGGAGCTCCATCCGAGCGGCTTGCTTGGCGGCCGACTGGGCCTTCGCCTCCTGAGAGGTCAGCCTGCGCTTCAGCCGACGGTCTCGCACCGGACCCTGCGCGGGAGGAGAAAAGAGGGGGCGGGGGTCAGAGGGAGGTCAAAGGCCAAAGGTCAAGGTTTTCGGGGAGGGGGGCGAGGAGCCTGACCTGCTTGGTCCCGCGCTTGAACTTTTCCACCTTCTCTGGAGGGATGGTCGCCGGGCCGGGAAAGGGGTCCACCTTCTGCAACGGAAAAGACAGACAAGTTTGGTTTAGTTTATTCAATGCTTAGACCACGCACGGGCAAGCTTCGGCCCTCCAGGTGTTTTGGACTGCAACTCGAACCATTCCTCACAGGCTCAGATCCTTCCCTTTCCCCCCTCAGCCGCTTAAGCGGCTGAGGGGGAAAAGGAAGGGGCCTGAGGCTGTTAGGAATGGTGGGTGTTGCAATCCAAAACACTTGGGAGGACTAATGTTTGCCTATGCCTGGCTTAGACCATATTGTCCAATCTATATTTGAATGATATAATGATTTTCCCAAGAAAATTCCCATTCTCATATGTGCTGATTGTCAGTGGCATTGGCCGCACAGCAAGGCAGGAAACAGATCAATCACAGCCACCTTAGGCTATAAACTACTTCATTTTACAGCAATATACATTAGAAGCTACTTAACACTCGGCACATTGTAAACTTGCTTCTTTACCGTCTGATCATAACATCGCAAACACATGAACTGTCTGTTATCAGCACTAGTCCACACCTCTCGCATTCCAGAGTGATGTAGGACGTATGACGCAGCATCCATTTGTTCTATACACTTGATTTATGACCTCTCTAGGAATGCCATTCCCTCCACGGTTCAGTTAACTCTTTCCACACAGGAATACACTCGGCACATAGCTACTACATTTTAAACATACATACATACATACTTTGAAATCCACATTATAAATTGCAAACAGCTTCAACTCTGATGACATGGTTTTGATGTCACTCCCCCAAATTGGTCTGAGAAGGCTGCTCTCAAAGTTTGGTACATACATACATGTACAGATATGGCCACAATGGAGGACTCTTATATGCTGATTGTCAGTGGCATCGGCCGCACAGCAAGGCAGGAAACAGATCGATCACAGTCACCTTAGGCTATAAACTACTTTATTTTACAGCGATATACATTAGATGCTACTTAACACTCAGCACATCGTAAACTTGCTTCTTTCCCGTCCGATTGTAACATTGCGAACACACAAACTGTCTGTTATCAGCACTAGTCCACACCTCTTGCATTCCAGAGTGATGTAGGACGTACGACGCACGACGCTGCGTCCATTTGTTCTATACACTTGATTGATTGCAAGAGAGAACATGTACTAGTAGAACCGCATTCCCTCCCCCGCTCTTACCCCAGAGATGCCCTCCGGCTGGTCCCGATCTCCGTCCTTCGACATCCTCTTCTTCTTTGGCCTCCCATCGTCCTTCTGGGGCTTAATGGCCTTTGGGTCGCTGACCACCTCTACTCCGGCCTCCCAATATCTCTGGAGGGGCTTCTTCTAGGGGGAAAGGGAGGGAAAGCGGGTCAAGAGAAGCAGGAGAACAACCTCCATCAAGTATTAGTGGGTCCCCAGGGACCAGGCAAATGAGTTATAGAGTCCTTCTGAACAGTAGGCTGCAGTGACACAATGGGTTAAACCCTTGTGCTACTGAACAGCTGACCTGAAGGTTGGCAGTTCAAATCCGTGAGACGGGGGTGAGCTCCTGCTGTTAGCCCGAGCTCCTGCCAACCTAGCAGTTTGAAAACATGCAAATCTACGAGACGGGGGTGAGCTCCTGCCAACCTAGTAGTTTGAAAACATGCAAATCCGTGAGGAGGGGGTGAGCTCCTGCTGTTAGCCCCAGCTCCTGCCAACCTAGCAGTTTGAAAACATGCAAATCCGCGAGACGGGGGTGAGCTCCTGCTGTTAGCCCCAGCTCCTGCCAACCTAGCAGTTTGAAAACATGCAAATGTGAGTAGATCAGTAGGTACTGCTTCAGCAGGAAAAGGCAAAGAGATGCTCCAAGTCGTATCTCTCCATAGCAGCTCACAATTAAAAACATTACAATGCAACTTAAAAAATACAAATATACAACAATAACACACTATTATCATTACATATTATCAGTAGTATTATAATAAATAATATTAGTATTATTATGTTGCAATAGGGAGACCCTGGTGGCGCGGTGGGTTAATAGGGAGACACTGTGCCGGCAGGACTGAAGACCGACAGGACGCAGGTTCAAATCCGGGGAGAGGCGGATGAGCTCCCTCTATCAGCTCCAGCTCCTCGTGCAAAGGGGACATGAGAGACGCCTCCCACAAGGATGGTAAAACATGCTTTTAATACGTGACACTAGTGACTTCTGCTTTTATTGATGGTATGGTTTTTATTATTGTATGTTAATGTTTTTAATTGTATTTATGGTATTGCTGGCATTGAATTTTGAACCTGTAAACCGCCCTGGGTCACCTGTGGGCCGAGAAAGGCGGTAGACAAATACAGTAAATAAAATTATATATATATATATATATATATATACACACACACACACACACACATATATTACAACACTATTATTATTATATATAATATATTAGTATTATTATATTACAATGCTATTATTTATATATATATATGATTATACAGGAACTGCTACTATTTTGGATTACAATTCCCACCATCCCCCATCCAGCAATTCACGAGACAGATAGGAAGAGTTGCTCTCCTTGCATTGCCACTCCCAGCATCCCTTACACAGCAACACAAGATATATAGGAACAGTTGCCTTCTGGGCTGCAATCCCCATTCTCTCCCATTCAGCAATATACTATGTAGACTACAATTCCCAGAATCCCCTACCCAGAAACACACAATTTACATTACTCTCCCAATGCCCATACTCCCTTGGGAGAGTTACTCTTTTGGACTACAATGCCCATAATCCCCCACCCACCCAGCAAAACAAGCTAGCCAGGAAGAATGGCCCTTTGTCAAACTACAATGCCCAGAACCCCCTACCCAGAAACACACATTCAGCAGTACACTATGTAGACTACAATTCCCAGAATCCCCTACCCAGAAACACACATTCAGCATTATACTATGTAGACTACAATTCCCAGAACCCCCTACCCGGAAACACACATTCAGCAGTACACTATGTAGACTACAATTCCCAGAATCCCCTGCCCAGAAACACACATTCAGCAGTACACTATGTAGACTACAATTCCCAGAACCCCTTACCCAGAAACACATATTCAGCAGTACACTATGTAGACTACAATTCCCAGAATCCCCTGCCCAGAAACACACATTCAGCAGTACACTATGTAGACTACAATTCCCAGAATCCCCTGCCCAGAAACACACATTCAGCAGTACACTATGTAGACTACAATTCCCAGAAGCCCCTACCCAGAAACACACACAACTTACATTGGGAGAGTTACTCTCCCAAAGCCCATAATCCCTTGGGAAAGTTACTCTTGTGGACTACAATGCCCATAATCCCCCCACCCAGCAAAACAAGGTAGCCAGGAAGAATGGCCCTTTGTCAAACTACAATTCCCAGAAGCCCCTACCCAGCCACACCAAACAGGACAATGGCAGTGATCCTCCTTGGGACTGCAACTCCCAGTTTCCCCCTTCAGCAACACACACCACTCCCATAGGCACTCCCCTCACCTTCTTCTCCTTCTCCATGGCTGCCCCGTTTCCCCAATTCAGGAAAGTGCCTGCCACCCACGTGGATTCCACGCTCAGAGGCACGCTTCCGGGTGCTTTCTCTCCCGTCCAATCACAGCGCAGGCCCCGCCTCCCTCCCCTCCAATCAGCGTTCAGGAAGGGCGACTGCAGCGGCGCCATCTTGAGCACGGGCAGGCGCCATTTTTTTCTTCCCTCAGGCGCCTGCCGCCCGTCTCCGAAGAGCTCGCGGCAGCCATTTTGAGTGAGGGCACGGCCAGGCGCCACTCCCGAATTCAAGATGGCGTCTGCAGAGGAGGCGGGGCTTCGCTGATTAAAGGCACAGGCCTCATTTTCTTCCACTCATTCATTTCAAGCATTTAATATTTTAATATTATATTAAATATTTTAATATTATAAAAATAAATTATTTCATAATAATAATAATAATAATATAAATCATTATTTCTTCTTATCTGCCTCTCTTCAAGGCTTGATGATGATGATGCCAATAATAATAATAATAATAATATATTATTATTATTATTATTATTATTATTATTATTTTCTCTAATAATATATTATTATTATAAAAATAAATTATTTTAATCTAATAATAATATATGTTAATAATATAAAAATTATTATTTCTTTTTATTTGCCTCTCTTCAAACTTGATGATGATGATGCCAATAATAATATATTATTATTATTATTTATTTTCTCTAATAATATATTATTATTATAAAAATAAATTATTTTAATCTAATAATAATATATGTTAATAATATAAAAATTATTATTTCTTTTTATTTGCCTCTCTTCAAAGCTTGATGATGATGATGCCAATAATAATATATTATTATTTATTTTCTCTAATAATATATTATTATTATCATTATTATAAAAATAAATTATTTTTGATCTAATAATAATATATGATAATAATATAAAAATTATTATTTCTTCTTATCTGCCTCTCTTCAAGGCTTGATGATGATGATGCCAATAATAATAATAATAATAATAATAATAATAATAATATATTATTATTATTATTATTATTATTATTTTCTTTAATAATATATTATTATCAATATTATAAAAATAAATTATTTTTCATCTAATAATAATATATGATAATATAAAAATATTATTTCTTTTTATCTGCCTCTCTTCAAAGCTTGATGATGATGGTGCCAATAATAATAATAATAATTTATTATTATTTTCTCTAAAATATATTATTATCATTATTATGAAAATAAATTATTTTTCATCTAATAATAATATATGATAATAATATAAAAATGTTTTTCTTATCTGCCTCTCTTCAAGGCTTGATGATGATGCCAATAATAATATTAATAATATATTATTATTATTATTATTATTTTCTCTAATAATATATTATTATTAATATCAAAATTATAAAAATAAATTATTTTTAATCTAATAATATATAATAATATAAAAATTATTATTTCTTCTTATCTGCCTCTCATCAAGGCTCGATGATGATGATGCCAATAATAATAATAATAATAATAATAATAATAATAATATATTATTATTATTATTATTATTATCTCTAATAATATATTATTATCATTACTATAAAAATAAATTATTATTAATCTAATAATAATAATAATATATGATAATAATATAAAAATTATTATTTCTTCTTATCTGCCTCTCTTCAAGGCTTGATGATGATGATGCCAATAATAATAATAATAATAATAATAATTGTTCTGGTATGGCTGTACCAGGAGCTCCAACTTTATTTGCTTTGTATCGAGTGTTTGCTTGCAGTCCAAGGTTTCAGGGATTCTGCAGAAAGGTGGCTTCCTTTGGTTGCAGTCATTGGGCAAGTCACCTGTCCATCATCATTAAGTTTTGGTCCCGCCCCTTGCTCAGGACAATTGGGAAGGGAAGGGAGCAATTTTTTAGTTAGTCTCAGCAAGGAAAACTAATGTACAGGACGTGTGCAAGCTTCCCCTGTACAAAAGCTTCTACCCTTAAGACTTTCTGGGGGAAAACAGTCTTAAGAGTCTCCAAAGATTTCCAGGGAAACAGCCCTAAAGACCAAAGAACTCCAGCTGGAGAACATCTAAGCCTTTACTGGTAGGTCCACTCTGCGTTCGAGAAGCAGTTTGACCCGGTAGCGGAGCCCACATCAGTAAGGGTTAGATTACAGTCAGCCTGGGAGAAGTTAAAAAGGGATTTTCCTTAAAGCAAAGAAACAGTTATTGAAGACAACTGCCTGTCCTTCGTGGGCAAGTTAGGAAGCCACCAGTTGCATAAAAGCCTGGAATCATTTGTTTAGCTTTATTGAAGACAAGAGAAGTTTCTGTTTGATTGTTCATTAATAAAGGACTTAGTTATACTTCACAAGCCATCTAAAGACTATTTGTGGTGGAAAACCTCTGAGAACTTCTCTTCGGAGCCCCCTGGTTTCCCGCTGGGCAAAGGTTGTACGTCCTGTTCTAAAGGAAATTATTTACAGGCCCAGCGCGCAACAGAATAATAATAATAATAATAATAATAATAATAATAATAGTAATAGTAATAGTAATGAAAAATTATTATTATTTTCTCTAATAATAATATATGATAATAATATAAAAATAATTATTTCTTCTTATCCTCCTCTCTTTATGGTTCGATGATGATGATGATGATGATGATGATGGTCATCATCATCATTTTGGTTTAAGTCTGCACCCATTTATAGCCCCCTTTCCCTGTCCCCAAAGCAGCCCCAAAGCAGCCCCAAGTGATGTCCCCAACTGCAAAGCCCATCGGCCCCAACTGCAGAACCCATCTTTCCTTCCTTTGAAGACTCCGCAAGAAGAATGAGACCATGTTTCCCACCAAACACAATTAATTAAAATGCGCTTCTTTATTTCCCGGAAGCAAGGAGAGGCCCCTGCCCAGGAGGACCCTCCATTCCGAGGAGATCTGCACTGCGGGATTAAAGCGGATTAGCCCCCCTTGGGAACGCCCTGGGAGTTGTAGCCTGGCCTCGTGGGAGGTGCGGTTCCACAAGGTCTTCCTTCCTTCTTAAGGGGTCTTAAGGGGTCTTCCTTCCTTCTTAAAGGGGCCGCACTCCTTACTCCTCCTGGGGGGCCTCCTGCGGTACGGAGGGGCAGGCCAGCTCTCCCTCCGCAAGGCGCCAGACCTCATTGCGCCGGTTGAAGAGCTCAAAGGGGCTGCAAAGAAAGAGAGAGAAAGAAAGAAAGAAAGAAAGAAAGAAAGAAAGAAAGAAAGAAAGAAAGAAAGAAAGAAAGAAAGGGGGAATTAGTCTGTATGGCAATGGAAGGGCATGGAAGCCCCCTCCCCAATAAAGAAGGAAGACCCCCTTCCCAAAGAAGTCTCACTTTATTTAGACACCAGATAAAGAAGACCCCACCCCCCTCGATTATTGATTTATTTACAGTATTTATATTCTGCCCTTCTCACCCCAAAGGAGACACAGGGTGAATCACAATGCGCGCGCACACAGCAAACATTCAGTGCCATTTCAGATATACAAGACAGACAGACAGATAGAGGGACAGTGTTCCCGCACTTATTGCAGGTGTTACGTTCCAGGACCACCCTCTAAAAGTGAAAATCTGCGAAGTAGGGATGATATATATATGTATATGTTGGAGTTGAGAATGCTCTTTGATTGTAGGTGAACTATACATTCCAGTGTAACGATGCCACCGGTTGAAGGGACGTTACCGATTTGTCAGGGTCTCCTACAACTTGTAATGAATCTATAAAATCGATAACACAGCCACTAGCCTGTAGTATGTTGTTTATCTTCCTTTGATGTGTAGCGCGGTTTGACTCAAAAGTATATGAAACAGAGACTTGGATTTAAGAGAAACTGTAATAAGTTTATTGAAGTATAGAAGCTTAATGGTTTCAATGTTTCTTAACTCCTAGAGGTACATTCCTTTAGTAGATACATTTATAACCTTGCATAAAACAACTCTTAAGAGGACTGTTCTTTCCACTAGACAGGTTTTAAACTTATTTTCTTCAAAATGTGTTTCTTTCCTTAACAGATCACCCCAGATACTAGCCTATTCTTTCCCTCTGTTATCTCTGTTCTTACTGGGGTTCTCTTTCCCTTTTTTGCTCAAACCCTAACTACTAATCTAAATAAGTCAACTTGACCTATCTAAAAGCCTAAACCTTCCTGATACTCAACACAGAATAGAATCCTAGCAGTGGAAGTGACCCCCAAAGGCCATCCAGCCTGGCCCCGTTTTGTGGAATAGGAAAGACACCTTCCAAGCCCTCCCGGCAGGGGTCCTCCTAGTTCTGTAGGGAAGGGGGCCCCCTTCCCACATGCGACCTTCACCTGTTGTATCCGGCCACGTAGTGCACCCCGGGCTTTGTGGCTCTCTGGTCGCGGCGGAGGGCTTCGTCCAGGGCCAGCAGCTGCGACTCATGGACATCATCGGTCATCCAGCCCCCAAAGAAGCGGGCATAGGTCTCCAGCTCCGGAAAGGTGGTCAGGAAGACCTGCAAGGGCAATTTGAGGGGGTGGGTGGGAATAAAGACCTGAGGTCAAGCCAGGGGTCACTCAGAGACTCCCAAAGGAGGCAATGACCTCCAGGGCTGACCCTGTCTTCTGTTGAGGACTCAAGAGGGGTGCCAAGAGGGGTCCTCGCCCTCCCTCTCACCGTCTCCTCGGTGGGCTTCGGGGGGTCGTCCCGGAAGGCCTCGGGCACCATGAAGTAGACCTCGAAGGCCCCGTCTGCCTCCTCCACCCGGGCCAGGACCGGCGATGTCATCGGGATGGTGGCCTCTGTGTATTTCAATGGGGGAAGTGAGGTGGGAGGAGGAAGCAGGCCCGCCCTCCCCTTCGGCCCCTCCGGTGGGAAATGGGAAATGCCCCCCCCCTTCCCCACTGGGTTGGTGAACAGGCCCAGTGAGTCGGGGGCTTCGCTGAGTCTCTTCAAGGAGATGGGGCTGAATACAAATCAAGGGTTACTAGTGTTATTGCATTTGCTGTCCATCCTGCAGCTGAGGAAAATGGGCTCCACACTCACGGATGATGGGCCTTGCAGTTGGGGGTAGAGGGGCTCTGCAGTCTG